TGAGGTGACCATGCTGGGTTTGACGAGGCATTTTGATTCTTGTGTGACTGCAAAGGCAGAAGCATGATCGTTTTTAGAGGAGAATTGGGGAAGGCAGTGCAAAACAAAAGCGCAATTTTGACAGGGTTCAGCACTAATACTCAGAAAGTGGGTGTGTGGGAAGCAAAGCCTTGCAGCAGCTGAACTCTAAATCTCTGAACTGGTGAGAAAGCATAACGAGAGCTGCCTCTCAATGAAGAGTGGATTTTGTCGCTGCCTTTTCCGATGCTTTAAACTACTTACAGACCGCAATGCTGACTCGTGCTTTCTATGAACAGTTACAAAGCCATAAGCAGTATTGTTACTGGCTCTTTTCAGAAGGCCCCTGCTGATTCCAATATGGTCAATGCCATATTTTTGAAAGTAAAGCTAGCAAAATATACAGATTATTAGAAAAGAGATGCAATCTACAAGAACTTCACTTACTAGATTTAAAACCCCGAAATTCCAACTCTTACTGATGTGATTTATGCCTTACATGAGTAAAAGTGAATGAGCTGCTAATAACTCCCTTCTTTGGGGCTCAAAATTCCTTGGATAAGGGAAAAGAAGCCAGCCAGCATGACTGTGTTGTAAGCTGTTAGCTGGGGCTTAGGTCTCCCGTCCCTAGCAAGTGTGCTGCTCGCTAGACCAGGGTTACTTGTTTAGTCTGGACAAGTCTTGGTGGGCAGACCAAGGTCTGCTGGTGAGCTCTACCAAGGTCCCATCAGTGGGAAGCAGTGTGTGACAGCAGTGAGCTGTTCAGCTCACCAAGCAATTCACCCTGCTCAGGGACTGTGCTTCAGCTGCTTCCTAAGAGCACAATGTAAAATACAGGGCTTTCTGATGGATGCAGGATGTGACTCAGCTTGGACATGGGGCATGAGAGCAATCAGGGCATGGTAAAAGGCAAATTTTATTTCTAGTCTGGTTCTTGATCAGATGTCTTTAAATAATCCTACAGAACACTGTTCCATCGTCATCTGTGCTGGCCAATAAATACTGTATGCAATGAGGAAGGATCTCCCTAATGGGTGGGTGGAGCTCCTGTCCACAGAGTCCCTACAGCAATGGTATGGGACTATGGTCTGCAGATCTGTGGGATTTCATGCGCCGTTTCTATGGGAGGAGGCCTAAGTCTACCCTGGGAATCTGCACCTGTTCTGGGAAATTAACATGATGTTACAAACTTAGAAGAGCTAAAAAGTCACTGTCCTGCATCTTCCATATTAGATGGTTGATGTGGGAGGTGGTCCTGTATCCTCAGGCATTGCAAAGCTTCAGAAGCATGCCTCTCAGGATGTGCCAGCATGGCACAGTACATCTCTGTGCTGCAGATCCCCAGCCCAGGTATTCCTCAGAGGAAGGAGCAGATCTTGGCAGGGATGTAATCTTGGATCCCAGAAGCAGTATTGCCTTGGTAGCACAGTGCTCAGTTTCAAGCTAATGTGCCTTGCCTCTTAGCCCACCAGCTGAGGTTGGTATTTCTTACTCTCCTGCTTCCAGATCCAAAGCTATTTCATACAGAGCCAGAATAGGGATCTCTGTACCTTATTGCTCTGCAAAGTGTTGACACATCCTTTCTTTCCTATGTTTTCTCATCAATAAATTTTAGAAAAAATGTCCAGAAAGTCTGCTGTATCTCCTCTTGCTTGCGAGGAAAGGCTGACTTAGGTAGTCTGTCTCCAGGAAAGACTCACTGGTAGGCAAAAGGACATTAAAAGAATTGCAATCTGTAAATGGATTTAAAAACTGGAATAGGGGAATGATGGAGAAGTCTGCCAGTGGCCATTGAATATGGGGATCTGATTCAGGAAGGTGCTACATCATCCACCCCAGAAGCTCCTAAGATACATCAGAGAAAGGCTGACCCAGTTTTCATGTTTCTCACACTCTTTCACTAAGCACCTACTTCTGGCCACTGTTGGACTCAAGGTAGTTTGACCCACATGTACATATGGAAGAAAGGATTGCCCTGCATTTAAGAAGTGGGTGCCACCTAGATCCATCCAGGCTATGTGTGCATTCAACATGTGTGCACAAGTTAGTCTTGTACTCAGCTGTCAACAGCCATTCATGTTGAGGGGGAGCCTGAAAGAGTTAATGGGAATGCTGCCCCAAACATCAACCATCAGATATCCAGAGCCTGGTCCAGGTGCCTAACAACTCCAAAGAGGAATGGCTTCAGCTAGATGTGGTAATAGGAATGTGTTTTACATCTGAATGACAGTGTGGATGTGGGCCTGGAGGATATGGTGTAAGTACTGCAGCGTGGACCATCAGAAACAGGCTTGTCTACTTTCAGCCCAGAGGTGGGTGTGCATGGGTGTTTCCACAAATCCTAGCCTGGCGAAGGCGTGAAGAGGAATGCTTGTGGAACGCTTCTGCCCTTGGCATTTCCTATTTGCTTTTTGCTCTGTGCAGACGTCTGTGTGGAGCTCAGCTTTTCTTTTGCTTTGTGCTACCAGCTCAGGTGCCTGGCTAGACAGTTTCACTAGGCAGCAAAGAACCTAATCCTTGCTGAAGGCCACCTAATCCTCTCAGCTTAATGGCCTTCTACTCCTTCAGATTGTCCATTCTTTATTTTTTCTCTATTTGCTCAGCAACTGAATTCTTTCCTCTTCCATCAAAAAAAGAGTGTTGTGAGCAGGCTGCCTGGCCAGCCATTCTCATTTGTTGTTACCAATGCCCCTCGGTTCTTCTAGGCTCCAAAATGCAGAAACCCATAAAACCAGTTGGAAGTAAATGAGTAATGGAGGGGAAAGGCATGTCTCTATGGGCTGAAGAAAGTGCTCTGTAGACCAGTGTTTGAAAACCTCTCATTAATGCTTCCTGGTTATTTTTTCTGCATTTCACTTTGCCGAATCCAAATCCCTCTGAAGCCAGTGGGAATTGTTCCACTGACTTCTGCGAGAGTTGGATCTAGCCCCTGGTCTGAAAGGTAAAACTAGTCTCACAGGTTTTCTTTTATTTCAGTTGGTTTCACTTTCTGCTTCTCAACTCCCTGAGTAACATGAATGCATTAATAATGCTCCACGGTGAGATTCATACAAAATATTCTCTTTTTAGGCTTTTTGTAAAATAAAATCAAGATGTGCATTAGCAATTCTACCTCTGTCCTCCTGACTATGCTTTTATGCCCCTCTGCACTGTTTTTTGCCCTCCCCCATTGAGGTAAACGACAATGTATTTTTAAGTGTAACACATTTCTGACAAAATTTTGCAATCACACAACAAGATATTCTCAACTTTTGGCATCGTTAAGAGGAGACAGTTTGCCCTCAGAAGGTACTCTGTTTATACCATCTCAAGTGGAACAAGTATTAAGTGGGTATGCTGGGTTGTGAAAGATGTTTGTTCCATCACCATGGGACTCCTCACACAGTTCCCAGGGCAAGGCATTGCATGTAGGGAGGTGACAGTGGATTTCTACATCACAGCTCAATTTTCAGCTTTTAAGTAGAAGCTGTACTTTTATGATAAGTTCTTTTTCCTAAAATAGCAATTTGTTCAAATTAACATTTCTGATAGCAGAAAGGGAGCAATGTAGAATACGGTACTGCAGGACATAGAAAGGAACATTATCTTATAGACCTTTGGGGTTTTATCCTCCAGATTGCCCGAAATTCTTTCCAAGTAACGTGTTAAGATACTGGTAATGCAATGACTCAAGCATATAAACAGATGGAGTGAGTAGTATGAAACCAGTGATTCAGCTAATGTACAGCTCTGGAAATTCAAATTTGATTTAACAAGAAGAGAAATGTTGAATAAGACATTTATAATTTTTCCATTTTTGAAGGAAGCTCTAAGTAGGTTGTTTTTTCTACTGTAAGGGTACAAAAACATAGGACAATAACAGCTCATCAAAAGGATAGCATCTTGATCCCCACACAGAAACTCCTTGCAGTAGTACTGCACTGCAGTGCCAGCTCTTGGTCTGAGCCCAAGTCCTGCTGTGGGACACGGGCTCTTAATTTCTCCAGAGGGAGGGCTCCCAACTGAGTTACACAGACCTCCATAATCTAGTTCAAGCAAAGCCTGACATTTATTTAGACTGAGTTAACTCATTAATTTCAGCTTTAAAAATCTTAAAAGCCATATCCATTATAAAATAACTCACACATTTTTCCCAGGCTCCTCCTATACCACATAAATTTGTGGCTGCAGATGTGAATGTGCTGTGCCTACAAACAGGGCACAGAGAGGTTGCTTTCTGGAATGCTGTCCAAACAGCCAGAGGACATCTAAGTCGTTGACATGTCTTTTTACATACTTTTTTCACTGTGAGTGATGAAAGAAGTAACTGGTTTGCTGCAGAGGCCTCCCATTGTTAAGAGATCAGCACTTAAAAATTTACCTGATTTTTATTGGAATTTGGGGAAAACCCTGCTCTGTTTAAATTATTCCAGTCTTATCACTGCAATTACAGTCTTATCCAATAAGTTATGAGCCCAGATTACTGCCACCCTCACGGAAGACCATCCTTTCACCACTACATAAATGTTTCCTTTGAGAGCTTAATTATGAAAGAGTTGCAAAGTACACAATCAAGAGCCTCTTTGTGAATAGGTTAAATGCATGTGAATGTTATATTATGCACACAGTTGTACTATTTAGAACTTGGAAAATACTAAAGGATGTCAGAGTAAACCTAATTTTGTAGATACAGTTTTGCCTTCCAGTAAATTTACACAATCCTAATAGCACTGAACTGCAACTGAAAGTGTGTTTCAGAGAATAGATTTGGGAGTGCTTTTCTCATTTGGTGAGACAGGACCTTCTTAGTTTAGTGTTTGAAAATATTTGGTCCAGCTGTGGGGAATGCTCTTATACATCTGAGACTGTTCTCAGTAACCAAGTAAGGTCCTGACCCTACAAACATATCTGTGCATACTTTCAGTAATGAGCTATATTTAATAAGCCTATTTAATACATACAATGTTAAGAAAGAAACAGAAGTTTGAGAATTTGAGTATTCCTGAGAATTTGAGTATTCCGTTATTTGCAGTTACAACCCTAAATATTACAGAACCTCAGATTTACGTACTTGTAATTTGCTATTACAAAAGACAAAAATGGCATTTCATTCACCCTGGCATGTAGCTTTTGTTTTTTCAGGGTAAAAAAAAAAAAAAAGGCAGCTCTCTCCCCATTGCATTTCAGTGAGCACACCCATACCAATGGGAGTTCATAGCATAAACCTACATCAGTTGTGTAATAATCCTTATAAAATGTGTAGCATGGAGAATTTCTTCATGATAGCTGTCTTCTATCCTGCACTTTGGACGCGTGTCCTTTTGCAGAACTGATGAGGGATAGCACAGTTTGCTTGGACAATTAGAAACAAAGAAAGGAAAGGGTACCTATCCTTTCCCTTTTTGTTTGCTTGCCTTTGAATTGCTTATCTCAGTTATTTCTTCATTCTTTTCCCTTGCTGCTCCTCTCCTCCCAGCTCTTTTCCAAATGCTACAGGCTCCTCTCAGAAGCCTTGTAATTTTTAGTGCTTTATCTTAAAACTTCATCTCCTGAAGTCATTTTAGCTGTGGTATTTTAAAAAACTAAGCTTAGCTTTCAAGCCTGCAGTGGCCGCATCAGAGAAAACTGAAGATCAAATGAAAAGCACGGACCTCTCAACAGTGGCTGGGAACAGTGCACTCAGTGAGTTTAAAGCTGGGCAGCTGGAAGACACAAGTCAGATCAAGCTTGATTTTCAGGTTACTTTCTTGTGGGAACAAGGTTTATATGGACATGTCATGTAGGTACAGGTATATCTGGGGGTGTATCCATGTAATTTAATAACATTTCAAGATACTACATTCAGGATTAAAGCTGTCAGAATAACGTAGTTCCTGTAGCTTTCATGAAAATAAGTTGTCAAACAGAGAGGATGTATCATGTACTCCCTGAACAATGGAAAGCCTGCAACACCAGCTTTTAGGCAACAGCATCTATTAACTAAAAAGAGACCTTACGTACACCACAACTTTGGAAGATATTTCAGTTAAAACTTGCACCTTAGACCCTAAAGTTAGCAAACTGTGAGCCACAAATGTGTGGGGAACCAGGCTTTCTTAATTCTGCTGCTTGGTGGTCACATGCTTTAAGATTCAGGGAGTCAGAACATCTACTGTTATCACAAAAAGCATAAGGGGCTGGAGAGGGTAAAGGATGGAGTAACCTTACTTACAAAGGAAACCAAGAGATGAGATTACTGGGGTGAAGGGGAGACAGCAGATGAGGAATTTCTGCTGCTGTCATGTGTGAGAAAGGGAGCTAGGAAGAGAAAGTGGCAGGCAGGAAGGAAAGGAAAACCAAAGGGAAGCAGGAAGAAAAAGGAAAATGCAAGTTGGGAAAGGCATCAAGAAAGGCTTTGAACATCACTGGGAGAAGAGATTAAACAGAAACTGAATTAGTTTGAATTTAATCTATACTTTTTCAGAAGAAATCAGTGATCTGTCTAAAGAAGTACAAGCAAGGCAGAAGGAGACCAAAGGGTTTGCAGAGAGAATCAAATTTGAAGAGGCAGGTCTGGACATGGGAACCAGTTAATTTTAAGCACTGTTCAGTGAATGTGTCACTAATGAATGTGTCAGGGATAATGAGAGATGAAACCTGTGGTAAAAGAAGCCAGCCACAGGAACTCTATTAAAGGTGTTACACGGTGCAAGAACAGAGACTCTTGTGAGTAAGACAAACTAAGAGTTGTATTTTTATTTTTTTCATCTTGTTTATATAAGCTGTTCACATGAACTTTGAGACTGGATTCACACATCTGAGCACTCTGGATTAGCATAGTTCATTTTCTCGCCCACTCTCTGCTAGGTGTGCAAGTTATTTCTATGTTCACAAGCCTGGCGTCCACGTGGTTCTGTCTGTATGGGGGGGGAAATGGCTCAAAAGCAAACTCCCATAAAGGCTCCCAGCAGTCTAGCAGGAGGATGAAGTGACTGTTTTGTTAGTGGACAAATGGTGGCAGTGTGCACAGTGTCTAGATCCCTGGAGACTGAGAGCAATTGGGTTGGCAGAGCAGAGTCTTGACACAGCAGTTACGCTCAGAGGACTGGAGGCTGACTTGGCTTGTGGGAGGAGCTGTTTCTATTGCCAGAGTATCAGCTAGCTCTTCTTTAAGCGCCCTGACCCAGGAAAGTACTATTGTAGAACCAACTAGGCAGCTTGCTACCGCTGTTAAAGCAACAGGAAGAGTAGCATGGACGTTGAAAAAAAAAGGTAGGGCATTCCCTGTTTACCAGGGTACAGGATACGCAAGTATATTCCCAGCTGCTGTTCTGCAGAGGGACTACAAAACCTGAAACTAAACCTGCTTAGGTTTTAAGCTGAGGTTCCTACAATGACATTTGCTCTGTACATATCAGCTTCTTCCCCCACCCTTGATAACATCGGCCCTCAAAGAGAGAGGGAGAGGGGTTTCTATGATCTTAGATGCCTTAAGAATGACGAATCACCCCAGTGATGTGACCCAAACATGCACATTCAAGCCCTTTTGAACGGCAGAGAATCCACAAGTGAGAAACTTGTAATATCCCGCCAAAATGGCTAAGCCACAAGACACCCATCTGTCTGATACCACATTTCCCTGATAGTCCTGCTTTTTGGGAACAGTTTAGGGAAACAGGGTGGCAAAACATGAGGGAAGAGTGCTGGTTTCTTCCAAGTGGGGAAATGGGAGTTTCTGTGAAAGACATCTGTATCCAGCAATTTTAATTCAGATCATGGCAGGACCTCGGGGCAGGATCCTGGAGCACTGCAAGACGTGGGTTCGGAGGAACGTGAGAGCAGCTCTGGGAGTCACAGCATGGCAAGGGCTTACCATGTTTCACCAGCCAGTTTCACACCACACAGGGTGAAGATGCTCCCCCACATAGTTTCAGGCTTCTACAACCTTCGGGGACGCCTCCAGCGAGACCCCTGCCTTACCTTCTCCGAGGCTCTAGGGCTCGGCAGGGTCCGCCTGAGGTGATCCGAGGGACAGCTGCACACCTCACGGCTGAGCCCTCTGCCCGCCATTTGGTATCTCCCTCCTCCCCCCCCCAGTAAAGAGCTGATTTCACCGTTCCCATCTAAGAGCCGGAGACGGGCGTGGTCAAGCTATTTGCCCGCCCCCTTAATCCATATTCATGAGCGAGGCGGGAGGCATAGGGAGGTGGTGCGCGGTAGCCCCGCCCGTTGGTGGGTGGGGCTACCGCGCACCACCTTCCTACACCTCCCGCGCGCCCCGCCCCTCGCGGTGAATATTGATGAGGCGTGATGCGCGGCGTGGTGTCGTGTAGGGCGGCGCGCCCGGCGATTGGCCGTGTGCGTGTGTGCGCGGTGACGCGTGTCGCGGCGGTGCGGGTCCCGATTGCTGCAGCCGCTTGTCAGTGTGACGAAGATTGGCACCCAAGGTAAGCGCTGTCACTCAAACCCGCTCCCAGCCAGCCAGCCAGCCATCCATCACGGCGCACCCGCCGCCGCCGCCACTACCGCCGCACGGGCCCAGCCGTACCACCACACCGGCGGGGAGGGGAGGAGGGGGGGGAAGGTTGAGGAAGAGAACGCGGAACAGCGGGGAGGGGGGGACCCGCACTCCGCAAGTCGCCCCAGAGGGGGGTTAGGGGCGGTGGCGGGGAAGGGGGGGGGAGGAGGGGAAAGTGAGAGCGGGGGGGGAGGGAGGGAGCGAGGAAGATTCTGGAACGACCGCCGTGTAACCGTTGTCTCTGGCGGGGGCGCGCGCGGGTGCGCGCGGAGGGGCGGGGAGGGGAGAAGGGGAGAGGCGCCGGGCGTGAGGGAGCGCGAGTCGGTGCTCGAGGACGCGGCGGGAGCCGCTGCCGTGGAGAGGGGGAAGGAAAGGGAGAAGGAAGAGGAGGAGGGAGAGGGGGCGACGGGAGGGGGGGGGGGCGGCTACGTGACACTTAAAGGGGCAGCGCCGTGCTGGCAGGCGTGCCTTGGGGTGAGGGGGGGATGGGGTGGGGGTGTTCTCCGGGGTCCTCATCACCCCTGCCTCCTGTCCCCGCCGTGTCAGGCCCCTGCCGACTCGACCCAAGACGGGGAGCTCTCTGCTGTGGCCGCGATCAGACCGTCGCGGCAGCTGCCTCCTCTCCGCACCTGCCCTCGGGGGCAGAACGGGGGCTGCCGGCGGCAGTTGGCCTCGAGCTGACGGGGGGTAGGGCGGTCAGCACCCACCCCCCTAGACCCTGCCCCCGGCCTTGGTGCCGTTTCGGCGGCGGGGCGGTCCGGCGGAGCGCGGCGTAGCCCCCGGGAGAGGGGGTGTTGGCGCGACTTCGGCCGTACCCCCCCCGCCACCCCCCCAGCCTCCTCTCTTGTTCATAGGAAGAGTGTTCATTCAGCGGCTGGCACTTGGGGCAGTGTGCGCGGTTCTGGCGTGAGGTGGTGGTGTCTTCCTCTTTTTAGTATTACTTTTATCATTTGTGATGTGACCTCATTGTCTCTTGGCTCGGTTATAAGTGGAAGTGCTTGACACCTTAGACCGAGGCTTCGAGTGTTTACATAGCCGCAATTAGGAGCTGAAACGTGACATTGCCCAGAGGTCCTGCTTATGATGTGTGTAAACAATAATGAATCAAGTGCTGGTTTTATCCTGAAATATTGCCTCAATTAGCCACATGTCATGGGTCTCCGTGGAGTAGTCGATAGCTTTCCCTCATTCGCACAGCACCAGCTGCTGTGACCCCGACTTCATCAGTTAGTGGTATCAGTAGTTAACGCATCTGTGTGATAGGTCTCTTTTTAGCTTATCCCTGTCCTTTTTAAATTATTATTATTTTTTAAACACTTTGTGTTTTCCTAAATGGGAACATTCCATGTAATTCTAGAGACACAGACATTAATCTGCTGCTCTGGTTCTTGACCTCTTTTTGTCAGTTACATCTAGGTAAATGACTAGTGTGTTTTTTTTCGGGGGGGAGAATGGCCTGATCTGAAATGATACCCTTATAAGTGAATTTTTATGCCATGCAGTTATTTATTTTTTCTTTTGGTCTCATGGAGCTAAGAGCTGTTCTGGCAAGATTCGTTTTTGTCCTTGCCCCTATTTGGAGTGTGATGTGTGCATTCCATTAAAACAGATGACAGGAATAAGGAGCATGGACGCTATGTTCTGATCTGTGGATGCTGGGGAACACTTGAGCCTATGGGGGATAGTGGGAGGGTGTAGATCATTTTCAGTGTATGCTAAATGTCTCTAATTGTTTTTCTTTTAAAAAGCTAAATAATTCTTACTCTTTACAAAAAGCATTCACATATAGTTAGTTCAGAATACTGTTCCTAATTTTATTGTAGAGCATGCTTTGTGCAAAGTTTCACCAAAACAGGTTGTTTGATTAGGGGAATGTAACACAGCTCAAGAAATTTATGCATCTTGCTCTTCTCTGTACTGTGAATACACTTGTAGATTACTCCCTTTGCTCTATGGGATATAAACTGTTTTATGGTCTGCCAGTGCTGTGGCAATATCCCTTTAGCTATATATGTGCAGCTAAAGCAACACAGCATCTGCAGCTGGGCAAGCACCGAAGTCTCGATTAAGAATGAGACCTGCTTAGTCCCCATTAGCTTATGTACAAGTTTTATCGCTTATCCTGAACCAGGAAACAAATTGTATCAGAAATTCTTGTATGTGTTTCCAGAATGTGTCATTGCTAGAGTAACAAGGAACAGCAAATGCATTTTGGGTGCATTTTCTAAACAGCTTTGTAAAATAAAATTGACAGAATTATCCTTTCCCGAGTTTATGTATAGCCATATATAATTGTTATGTTTAAGTTTTCAAGAACTTGGGAGGAAAAAAAAACCAAAGTGCTTCACACTCGATCAATCTGAAGAAACAGTTCAACACTTCTCAGTATGTCATTACTTTTAATCTATCCAAAATAAATCTGATTCTATTTTTAATGTGTGTCATATTTTCTATTTATTTTATGACGTGTATAGTGCATTTTTACTGTTGACTGTTAAAGCTTTACGTATTTTCTTGTCATGATGTGGTTAAAGTATGCACAGGAAAACCTAGTGTAGGTTTCACTGTGTGTTCTTAACTTAAGCTTCAGTTAAGCAGTGGAAGGCATAGCTCCATTCACTTCATTCACAGAGTAAAGAGGGATAGTGTAGAGGCTATTGCGTTGCACTGAGACTTTGAAGCCTTGACCTCAGTGATTTTTGGAGCATGCATTTTTTGATCTATGCCTGTGTATCCTTCTCTGTGTACACTGAATTCTAATAACTGTCTTGTATCAGAAGTGGGTCTTATTATCAGTTAAGTTATTAAGTTTGTATTTGGAAATTTCTCTTTGGCGTGTAAAAACTTAGTCTAATCTTGTGCCTTCTGGCCTTGATTTGTGCTCTTAATCTAGATACAGTTTTGAAGATTAGGATTATCTTTTGAGTATGAAATAACATTTTTCAAGCTAAGTCCTTGCAGTCTTCTGTTAGTGCAACTGAAAGTTTAGAATGGATGAAATATACATGATTATTTTAAATGTTTCAGTCTTATAAAATGGTATGGCTTCTAGAAGCTGTATGTTCTTTTTCAGAATTTTACTTTCTGTACTCTCAATGCAGTGCTGTAATGAAGTAATGATAGTTCTGATTGCTACCACAGCAAGTTTAGAGATATTTAGAAGCAATCCAATTTCCTGGAAAAGATTTAACACTTGCTGTTATTAAGCCCTCTACTAACAGCCAGGGGTGAATGATCCACAGAAGCACTACTGTGATAGTAGAAATGCTTGTTCTAATGGCCCTGTTAATGTCCTGAAGGGAGAGAGATGTAGACCAAAATGTATTTCAGTATATTATGTTGTGGTCTGAGAGCCAAATGTTACCTCTGCAAAACTGGCACATACGTGAAAGCTGACAGTAAATCAGATTAATATTTTTATTTTGGTGTAAGTAAGACAATTATTTTGTTTGGTGTGAAACGTAAAATTCCACAGATGTTACTTCTGGTTGCTTTGGTGTCACTTGTTGAAAGAGTTTGTAGGCTTACAAGTGAGAAGTCTCGGGGGGTGGGGGGTGGTGGTGCTTATTTTACCACAGCTCGGTGCTGTACAAAATGTAAAACAACTCACTGCTCTTCTAAGAAGCAAGAGGATTCCAAGAGCAAGGAAAAAAGCTGCTGATAAGAGTTCTTTCTTCCACTTAATTAGTGCCAGATGTTACCAGAGTATTTTACCCAGGCCATTATAGCTCTCCCCCCAAGATAGCAGAATGCTGAAGTGTTCACATTTGTTAGCAGGTTCTTCACATTGCTCAGTAAGATTGTTTCATGTGGGACACTGGTATCATCAAATGGAGCTGGGGGTGGGGTGGAAAGTGGAATAAGAACACCATGAATCTAGAGATACCAGTCTTTGTTGTTACGGAGTGCTGGCACTTTTTTATGGGATTGGTAAAAAGTCGTAACTTGGTTCCCCCACCAGCAGCTTGCATATACTAAACCTTGTATGTTACTGAAGCACAAAAAGGAAGTTGATGTTGGAAGTGGAAATACGGGTTTGCTCGTTGTTAGGTGCTTGCTTATCATCCTCCATATGAATATGCTTGTTTGTTTTCAATATAGCAGCTACTCCAGGCCATAATCTCATTTTTTCTATACATACATGCCTAAGAGGTATTTGCTGTTAAACAGGAAGGCCATCAAAGTACTTAGGCAGTCAGAAGGTGACTTGTGAAAATGGGAGCTAATGGGCTGTGATAGCCTTGTATTGTTCTCTATACATACCCATGAGTCTGTCATCTTCTGCAGCTGACAGTAAATTCAGGCAAAAAAAAGTAGAATAGAGTAGTTTACTGCTGGTGAACTGAAGGAGGAATCCATTTTTTTTTCAAACCACCAAATTCCAATTTGTATTTTATTTGTGAGCTTTAGGAGTTGCCTGTGTTTTTTCTTGAGGACAGAGGAAGTTAGGAAATGGGGTTATACTTCATATCCTGCTTAGCTTTTTTCAATTTACATAGCAAACAAAGCAAAGGGAAAAGGGTATTATAATACTACTGAAAAATAAAGACCAAGTCTTTCATGTTCAAAGGAAGCAGAGGCAGCTATAAAACAAATTGGAGCTTTATACATGTTCAACATGCCTGGAGAGTAGGGGAATGAAAATGTGCTATGTTGTATGTTTTTATAACTAAGGAGCATGAACTTCCAGGTCAGTCTGTGATCACTTCATTCATATGTGTTCTAGCCCATTTTTCTGGGTCACAGGTCATGATAGTAGTGATGCCAGGAGTAAGGTTACCTGGTTGTTGGGGGTTTTTTTATTATCATTTTGAGGTGGTGGTTTCAAGTAGCTTATTTCTCAGTCATACTGAAATTTACTGTGATGAATATGTTCAGAAACTTTAAGATAAAATTACTCAGCATTTTGAAAATTACTTTTAGAGAAAG